GATATGTAAATTAAAAATTGTTATTTTACGGTGATAATCTTGTTTTCTTGTGCCCAATAATGCATAATTTAATTTGATAAACACGTTTAGATTGAATGGTAATTTATAATCAGTCACAAGAACGTCGAATCTGAATCACTTGAAAAAAACACGGGGGTGCTTAACTTTTTTCCAGGTGTATAGATAGATAGATAGATAGTTAAAGAATGAAATCAATTCACTTAGCTATACCAGAAAATCAGAAATTCTTTTAATTCTAAATCTACTAAGAGGATCCATATGGATTCCACGGGATTTAAAAAAAATATTTACCATGAATATTGTAATTAATCCCACTAATTGCTGCTAGGGTTATTACATAGAAAATACACGATTTAACCTTTCTTTTTGATAGTTCTTTACACTAAGTGTTATATCAGGCAAAACCATAAAATTACTCAACATGATGTCCTATGTTGACCTCACCAATACTGAACGGTATGGATATGAGTCATTAATTTAAGGGTTAAATATGATCTGTTGATATTGTTTTCATTTCCTTATTCTGACACCTCCTTCCAGAAAAATATCAATTTTCGTTGTTAAAACTTGCTTAATACATACTAAATCTTGTTCGTCAGCTTTATGTACTACTTGTTGTAATGGTAGGGTTTACATAACTCTCCATAGCGTCTTTGCCTTGTCAATATCGAGTACTATTTTCATAATAAAACACATTAGAAGAAAAGGTAACACAAGACTCGAAACGAGTCGTTTATAGAAGAACTTTCCTGGTTAACGTGTTATGTACAGCTCCTGAAAGGATCTCATACCTACGATTACAGGGTCACTTGTGGAAATCTTTCTTGGTCGACGTTTGTTTGTACAGCTCCTGAAAGGATCTCATACCTACGATTACAGGGTCACTTGTGGAAATCTTTCTTGGTTAACGTTTTATGTACAGCTCCTGAAAGGATCTCATACCTACGATTACAGGGTCACTTGTGGAAATCTTTCTTGGTTAACGTTTTATGTACAG